ATCAAAGTTTGAGAAAATCAGTAGTTTTTTTTTTGACGCTTGTTAAAATTAAAATTAGATGATTTAGTTGGTTGTATAACGATAGAGTACTTGGTCTTGAAAATAGTAAAGCATTAAAGTACTACGGAAACTGGTTCAATTATAAAAATTGTTGATTTTTGAAAATTTGCTTTTAGAAAATACTCTGAGTTAACGTATTCGTTTGTTCGTTTTAATGATGTGTAATAAATCCTGTTTTCATGTCTCTCACAACCGTCTCTGAGGGTGTGGACAGTTATGACACTCATCTTATTTTTATATCATTTGATTTTATAATTAATCTATCGTATTTAAGAACAGTATTTCAGTATTTCCATGTATACATCCACTTATATTATAATTTAATACATTTTTCTCTGAGTTAACTGGTAAATTAACAAAGTTATTGCTGTGATAAAAAAATAGATCAACCGTACTCATTTCATCTCCCGGTAGTCATTTCATCTGGAATACTTCTAGAACACAATCATTACTTAATTGAAAAAAATATATGCTAATTAACAAAATTTGTATAATCCTACCGCTATTAAATTTTGTGGAGGATTTTGTTGTTTTCCCCAAAATAAAAAATATATAATAAGTACAGAGTTTATTGAGAAAATCTATTTATCACAGGAAACACTTCGATATTTACAGTTTGACAAAAATGCAGAAAGAAATAAAAAATAACATTTTTCTTAGTAAAAAAAAAAGTGATAAAAACATAAAAAGTAACCAAAATATCGATCATAAATGATAAATACTATTATACAATATACAATGAATAAAATTCTACTATCTATGCAGTCAATCTGAACTATTTGAGAATTAAAATTTTAGTTTGCTATATACAAATTAAAAATACATATCTCTTAAATAATGAAAAAAAGCTTGAAGTAATAAAAAAAATTACTACAAATCAAATTAATAGAATAATAGTTAATAGCATTTACTAAAATAAAGAAATAAATTACTTGATCTATAAATATACAGTTAATATAAAGTGCTATTGGCATGAAAATCTGTATTTTTTCAAATCTATCGGCGGCTCCACCGTAAATTGTACTATAACATTGCACTTAGTCCGTGAAGCGCGTATATATCGGAGCTATTTATACACCATTAAATATCTCATCTAGAATTACCGAGGGTCGAAGTTTTGTCATCGAGCTATATTTTGCGGTTAAAAGCAGCCCGCGAAGTCTACAAGCACACTAGCAAGAACACGAGCGTGTGTACTCTGAGCGGAAAAGGAATTCTCGAAAGGAACTCCGAATAGGAAACGCGAACGCGGCCCGGAAAGAAACCGCCCGCCATAGATGTTGCAAAGTCGCAGCATAAATTTACTTTCTTGTTATTTACACCCGAAGAAATGCGAACCGAGAAGGCTGCCGTGATTAAGATAGAGTGTATCGGCTGTGTAGTATTTTGGTTTTTCAGGCATTTTTATATTTCGAATGCAAATCTTTTTCATTCAAATGTTGTTACTACTATCATAGTATATCCTAACATTCTTTGTTTTCTAAAAATTGATATTTGAATGATGAATATGCGATTCACTTTACAATAGGCAATAAATAATAATGATGATTTAAATTAGTGGGGCGCATCGTGCCTTAAGGTCAACATCTTTGAGAAAATTTTACTTCGAAAACATTAGATTTTTGAGAAACTATAAATTTAACAAAAAAATACTTTTTGTTTGAAAAAAATAATTTTTTTTTGAAAACAAAATTTTTTTGAAAAAAAATGTTTTCTTCATTTTGACATATTTTGGAAATTTTGAACTTTTCAAAGCAATCGTACTGCTTGAACTGCATAGAGACGAAATGTCAAAGCGCATGAGAGCCGCGCCGTCGTCTAACGGATAAGCATTGGTACGGAACCCATAGAAATGTAAAAAAAAATCATACTTATTATTAAAATCTCTATAAAATATCTGATAATTTGATGTGCATGTGTCTAATGATCATTTTTGACCGCCGAATGGCATTTTTTTTTAACTTTTTTCATTAGATCTCCGAAATTTCTTCTTTTAAAATTCTCTTAAAAACTGAGTTACCATTTTAGCACTTTTTGCCTCGTATCTTCGGAACGGCTAGACCTGCCTTTGTTAAAAGCTAATCAGCACGTCTCCTTATCAATACGGATCGAACGTTTTTTGAATTATTCAAATCGGTTGATCGGTGTTCCCGAAATCGTCGACGAAAATTTGTTATCGCACATACACACACACGCACACACACACACATACATCCATTTTTTCTAAGGTTTGCTAAAATATTCAGAAACCTTTGAAACGTAAAGATATATAAAAATTTCCATTTTCGATTTTTTTTTGCGATCACTATAACTTGCCCTACGGGAAGTAAAAAACACACGATTTATTCTGTGACAAATAAAGAATTAACTAGTCGTGTATGATATCAATATTCAAGGCACATTGTTGGAACTTCCCGTACTGTAACGAAACATTCGAGAAATATTTAATTTTTTCAAATAGATCAATAAAAATAAATACTGTAACATTGCCTATTAATATGTTTCAACTTCCCGAAAGAAACGTTTCATTTTTACATTAATCAGATTCTCTAATGTTATATATTTTTGACATTTTAAGTCAATTGTAATAATTGCAATCGAATTTTAAACATGTCTTAAGCCGATTTCTCGAAATATCGTCTACATTTTCCCGTAAACGTTTGGACCGATTTCAAAAATTTTAAATCCATTGGATGTATTTCAATAGGAACTCGCGTTGATTACATATTGCATAATGATTGGCCAAGTCGTTTTTTTGTAATTAGCAGTGAAAAATTGGCCACCTTTTAGACCGTAATCCTGAATCGTTTATAAAAGTGCAAAAACTGTTCGAAAAATATTGGTTGGGAATCGCGTTGATTAGTTGCTGATAAAGATAGGCCAAGCCCTTTCTTCCAAATAAAATGTTGTACCATTTTTTGGACAATTTTGATGATTACTAACTGTTCAGCTTGCCACAGACGTAACTATATACATCTGTTTATCAATATTAAAAATAAAATGTGATATTAAAACTTTGTGTCAAAATTCGATTTTGGGATGTGAATAATCAAAAATTGAATTTCTTCAACGTTATTTCCACAAAGACTGAATAGATTTCACAAATTTGTAAGCCAATGGAGTGAAATCTATAAAATGCTAATAATAAGGTGTTTCTTTGGGCTTAGTAAAAACAAAGTTTTTTTAACAGATTTTGCGAGAATATTGCTATCTCAAATTTATGGACTTGTGTAATGTTCACAGAAACTAATAATGATTATCTAAATACATTTTTGATATCTGAAAACCTTTAGTTGTGTAGAAAAATTACACTTGTTTGTACGATTAACACGTTCACGCCGGCGTAAGCCACCCCGGTGACCCGCATTTTGAAGGCAATATCCATCACGCGCCGCCTCACAGAAAAACATACCAAAAACTGCCCCGGCGTGAACGTGTTAATTATCATAGACTACGCACATGATATACGAAATCATGCCAGTGCTTTTTTATAGCAATCGCTTAATATTTCACAAATCAGTTTACTAACTTCCTTTAAAAAAGTTTTGGCGTTTTTAATGAAGTATA